AAATTAAAGAGTATAAACTTGGAAGTTTAGTTTTTTTCCCTGAAATTTTTATTTCATTCCATAAATTCTTATTTAAAAATTAAATCACATTTTTTACTAATTGTTACTTTTTATTTTAAAATATCCTTGAATATCCTTAAATCCTATATACACTGAAGTGACAAAAGTCATAGGATACCTCTTAATATCGTGTCGGCCCTCCTTTCGCCCGGCGAAGTGCAGCAACTCGACGTGGCATGGACTCAACAAGTCGTTGGAAGTCTTCTGCAGGAATATTGAGCCATGCTGTCTCGATAGACGTCCATAATTGTGAAAGCGTTGATGGTGCAGTATTTTGGGCACGAACAGACCTCTCGATGATGTCCCATAAATACTCGATGGGATTCATGTCGGGCGATCTAGGTGGCCAGAATGGAATTGTCCAGAATGTTCTTCAAACCAATCGCGAACAGTTGTGGCCCGGTGAGATGGCGCATTGTCATCCATAAAAATCCCATCGTTGTTTGGGTACATGAAGTCCATGAATGGCTGCAAGTGATCTCCAAGTAGCTGAACATAAGCATTTCCAATCAATGTTCGGTCCAGTCACACCAGAGGACCAAGTCCATGCCATGAAAAAACATCCCACACCATTACGGAGCCACCACCAGCTTGAACAGTGCCTTGCTGACAGTTTGGGTCCATGGCTTCGTGGGGTCTGCGCCACACTCGAACCCTACCATCAGGTCTTACCAACTGAAATCGTGACTCATCGGACCAGGCCACGGTTTTCCATTCATCTAGGGACCAACTGATATGCTCACGTGCCCACGAGAGTCGCTGCAAGCGATGTCGTGCTGTCAGTAAAGGCACTCGAGTCGATCTTCTGCTGGAATAGCCCAAGAAAGCCAAATTTCTCCGCACAGTTCTAACAGACAAGTCCCTTGTACGTCCCACATTGATTTCTGCGGTTATTTGACGCAGTGTTGCTTGTCTGTTAGACTTTACGACACTTTGCTGACGTCGCCGTTCTCGGTCGTTAAGTGCAGGCGGTCGACCACTGCGCTGTCCATGGTGGGATGTTATGCCTGAAATTTCATACTCTCGGCACACTCTTGACACAGGGGATCTGGGAATGTTGAATTCCCTAACGATTTCCGAAATGGCATGACCCATGCGTCTAGCTCCAACTAACATTCCGCGTTCAAAGTCTGTTAATTCCCGTCGTGCGGTCATCATCACGTCAAAACCTCTTCACATGAATAACTTGAACAGAAATGAAAGCTCTGCGAAAACACTGCGAATGTATACCTGTTCTACGCGATGCTACTGCCATCTGAAAATTTGCATATTGCTATCCCATGACTTTTGTCACTTCAGTGTATATTACTTTGGGGCCTAAGTGCCGTGTGACTAGCGCTCGGTGCTAAAGGCTTCGGGTTCGAGTCCCGAAGGTGGCATGAATGTTTGTGGTTATTTGAAATCCACTTTAATCCGTAGATCCCTGTCTAATATGACTGTAGAGCGTTAGGCGTAGTGCTGACAACCCTATCCCGTAAAAAGAAAACTTCTTCTGTCTCGAAATCTGCCAGTAGGCAGACGGCCTTGATCCACCCTGGGCCACTAATGATGATGATGTTGATAAATGATATTACATTGTTTTGTTTATAGAAACAGTACTTCTAAAAAATAGAAATTCAATCGCATTTTAGTACAATTAAATAAATCTTACATACATAAATTAAGTACTACATTTATCGTTAAATTTACTTAATGTGAAATAAAAAAAAAATTATTGTACTCAGTACGTTTGCCTTTTTCTTTATTGAATACCGAAAAAATAATGATTAACTTTGTTTAATGAAAAAGATCACATTAGTTAGATTTCTGTGCAAAATTTTCATTGCATATTTTTATTACTTAATTGTAAAAATTAGTTAATGGTATGCGGTCTCGTAATTCCGGTTCTGTATCGATAAAATATATAAAACTTCAAAAATGTTGGCATAATCTGCTAAATGGATTGGCACGAAAGAGGAATTTTTCTTTCCTCCAATTCCGAAACTGTCACCGGCGCATGTTTATGCACCAATTACTGCGTTTCGTAATTTTCCCCGAAGAATGAACGGTAGTATTGACGTTTGTGAAAATTGAATAAGACTGTGACTTCGTGTAATTGTGTAGTTGTATTAAGAAGGCCGATTTGCCATAAGATTTTTATAAATTATATCGATACTTTATTTAAGATTAATTTTACATATGAAAGAATTGAAATTCTTTAATTTTATACGCTCAAGAGCCAAAACTTTATGACCCACCCCTACATTTTGCAATGAACTCGCCTGGATGACGTGGAAGGCACGTGATCAGGTGGAAGTGGTATTTAACTGGTATTAAGTGGTGGTATTAATCCATGCCAAGGCGGGTCGAAGCTGTGTTGCGCGCCAAAGGTGGGCCAACTCGTTATTGACTGGTGTTTTGGCTCTTGAGTGTATGTTTGTTTTATATTGATGATTTCAGTATCTCTTCAAAGTGATTTATCTAGATATAATTAAGTAGTAATTACTTTAATTGTATCATTGCAGATTGCGGGAAATTCATGCCCTTTTTGCACTTTGGCCTCGAATCCAATTTAAGATAATTAGATAGTTTGTAAGAAAATTGCGAAGTCAAAAACTAATTGCCTATTGGCCTATACTGAAAAATTAAGGGCATAAGCCTATTGGCCGAGTGACTAGCGCTCTGACACTCGGTGCCACGCATCTCAGGTTCGATTCCCGGCACTGTCATGGAGGCTTGTAGTTATTTGGAATTCACTTTAAACTGTAGGTCCCGGTTTAATATGACTGTAGACAGTTGAGCGTAGGGCTGAAAACCCTGCCCCGTAAAAAGAAATAAAATAACTTAAGTGTCGAAATCTGCAAGTAGGCAGAAGGCATTGGCCACCATAGGGTTTTAGAGTCATTGAAGAAGAAGAATCTCAATTCTTAATAACGTTATAATTCTCACGTCTGTAGCATACAGTTTCTGGATACCAAGTTAGCATATAAGCATATAAAAGCGATAAACCCATAAAACATATAAATGCGATAAACCCATAAAGCATATAAAGCGGTAATCTCATAAAGAAGAGCGATAGTCACTATATTTATTCATCATCAACTTTGTTTCACATCTTTAAATAGAGTTGTATTGCTTGATAACCAACATAATTTTAATTAAGTTTAACTTATGAAATTTTTATTCAAGAACGTCCTATGCACTAAAATTTTTATTATTATCCTAATGTAAAAGTGCTGCCTCTTATACAAACACACTGGCAAGAGTGCCCACGGGGCGCTCGGGAGAAATGGTCAGTTGGCTTACAGATTCTCACCCGAAAAGAAAGTATATTTCGCGTACCCTGCGCTTATTCGAATTTCGTGTTCTCCGCTAAGAACAGGAGTCCTTTCACGAAGCTATATTTACCTGTCTTTTACATTAAGTTTGTTAAATATTGTTTGTGTGTAGTGCTTGTGTCAATAAAGTTGTGAGTTCTCAAATCTGTGCCTCAAATATTTCAATCCAACCACAGCCAGTTACAATCGGGGTACCCAACCTGCGCACTAAACCAATAAATATTTAAAAAAAAATCTTTTTATAAAACTATACATAGAATAGAACAACAAAAAAAAGAATAAAAAATAAATAATATTTGCATCGATTATTATAAGGAATCAATCGCGATTGCCTCAATATATGCTACGTGTAGCATGTGCTAATAGTAAGAAAAACAGAATATGGGGCCGAATAGCCGAGTGACTAACGTTTGACGCTCGGTGCCACAGGTTTCGGGTTAGAGTCCTGGCGGTGCCATGCATGTTTGTAATAGGTCTGAATCCACTTTAAGCAATAGGTCCCATTCTAATATGACTGTAGAGCATTGCGTAGAACTGACAACCTTACCTCGTAAAAAGAAAAACATCTCTTGTCTCGAAATCTGCAGTAGGCAGACGGCTTGGCCTACCGTGAGGCTGTTGCGCCACCGATGAAGCTGATAATAATTGACTTAACTAAATAGCATAAATATTTTCGCTATATCTGACTATTAATACATAGTTAATAAATATCAAATAACTTATTAAATACTTTTATATTTAGAAGTATTTAATATTTTCATATTACCTTAAACAAATTCTTATTATTTAAAATTATTTTTTTTTCTATTATTTAAAAGATAATAAAAAAGGGAATTTTACTTTACTTAACAATATAATTGTTTAATCTGCCCTTTGAAAATATGGAAGTTATTTCTTCCTAAATATTTAATTATTTCTTATTTAAAAAGATTCATTTTTCATATTGTTTGAAATGATTTATTTATTTTTTTTATTTTATATATAAGATAATAAAAAAAGTATTTTATTTTACTTATAAACGATACAGTCGTGAAATCTGTTCTTGGAAAACTTTACTTTATCCTACACAAAAATTGAAACATATTGGAATGTGTGAAATACTGTAGGGTATAGAATATGTAAAACGTGGTATATGTAAATCGAAGAAAAAAAATGCGAAGGATTTTCTGAGAAATATATACATATATAAATATATATTATATATATTATATATATAATTATATATATAGAATTAAAATATATATAGAAATATATATTTTGAGATTGAAAACTTCGCCTGCCGTTCCTATGGAGTCGCCTTTCAACGCTTCAAATGCACCAAATCCATCATTAGAAAACAAGTTGATATTCATGGTGTATTGCGATATATCAATATTCGCGGAAGAATTTGGTGAATTGCGATATTTTATTTTAAATATTTCTTATTTAAAAAGATTTTTTTTTAATTTTATTTAAAATGATTTATTGTTTTTGTATTTTATTTATAAGATAATAAAAAAAATATTTTATTTTACTTATGGAATATACAGTTGTTTATTCTGAAACTTGGAGGTTATTTTATCATAAATATTTATTATTTCTTATTTAAAAAGATTTGTTTTTATAAATTATTTACAATGATTTTCCGAAGTCAAGCATCATTGGGCGCGGTCAGTACTTGGGAGGGTGACCACCTGGGAACACCGCGTGCCGTTGACAAATTTGGGACCTGAATGGCCGAGTGTCTAGCGCTCTGGCGCTCGGTGCCACAGGTTTCGGGTTCGAATCCCGGCGGTGCCATGGATGTTTGTAGTGGTTCGGAATCCACTTTAAGCTGTAGGTCCCAGTCTCCTATGATTGTAAGAGCGTCACGGAGCAAAAGTCAGGCTTCTACCTACGGGTGCTCCATCACAACAGAAGCTGCTTCCTTCCCCTTCAATCATGAGCATGTATGGGCTCGTGGGCTTGGCCAGCCAAGTGGGATAAGAAACAACAACAACAACACAATGATTTTTTTTAAAATTTTATTTATAAAATAATAAAAAAATATTATAAAAGACGTAATTGTTTTAAACTACCCTTAGAAAACTTGTAGGTTATTTGATCTTAAATATTTATAATTAATTTATTAATATATTATAATTTATTAAATATTTTATACTTATTTAAAAAGATTAATTTTTGATACAATTTAAAATAATTTTTTTATTTTTTTATTTATAAGATAAGTAAAATAAAATGCTTTTTTTTATTATAAAAAATATAGTCGTTTAATCTGCCCTTAGAAAACTTAAAGGTCACTATATCCTGCATAAAAATTGAAACATGTTGGAATGTGTGAAATACTCTAGAGAATAGAATATGCAAAACGTGGTATATGTAAATCGAAGAAAAAGCGAAGAATTTTCTGAGAAATATATACAGTTTTGAGATTGAAAACTTCGCCTGCCGTTCCTATGGAGTCGCCTTTCAACGCTTCAAATGCACCAAATCCATCATTAGAAAACCAGTTGATATTCATGGTGAATAGCGATATATCGCCGTACGATAAAAAAGAACTTGGAGGCTTTTCTTTCAGAGATATTTGTTTACTATACCAAACTCTTGTTATTTTATTTTTTACTTTTTTGACTAAAAATGTTATTTATCATTTATGCGTTAAAGAAAACTAATGTTGAGCTAATAAAGAAATACTTTTTATTACTATTTAGCATAACTTTTTAACCAGAAATTCTTTAAAATAGATTTCATATCAATATGAAAAAATTTAAATATACCAAAATAAAAATATTTGTATGCGTTTATTTTATAAATGTTCGCTAATAAAAAAAAAAAAAAAAACTGGTTTGATTTGGTTTGTCACTCTACAGTCATCTTATGCACACAAGGGTTAAACAAGTTAACACGACCGCAACCTACAATTTAAAGTGGATTCCCAACCATTAACAAACATCCATGCCACCGCCGGGATTTGAACCTGAGGCCTGTGATGTCAGATGCCAGAGTGCTATCTTCTAACCCCCGCCCGACAAGAAAAAAAACTAGGAGATTCTGAAAGGTACGACGGTTTTGAAGGAAAAATAACAGTCACGATTATAAAAAGCATGTCTGCCAGTAAAATCCTATAACAAGGCATTTATAAACTTAATTAATAAAAAAATTTAATAAATTAATTTAAAGTTAAATATAGTATATTAACTTATTTAAGTTGCTTATTTTTTAAAAAATTTTTGAATAAGTATAATAAAATTTATATTCTGCGAATACATTAGCTAAAAATATTAAATTTTTCGGTACTTAACGCCACCGCTGCTACAGATTTGGCAGTTTTTAAGTGGTGCCAATCTACACTTAAAATTTTTGTGACAAATCATAAAATATATAAAACATTTTGTTTAAAATCAAAACACTTTCAAAATTCAAAACACTTTATTTAAAATCAAAACACTTTCAAAATTCTAAACACTTTATTTAAAATCAAAACACTTTCAAAATTCTAAACACTTTATTTAAAATCAAAACACTTTCAAAATTCTAAACACTTTATTTAAAATCAAAACACTTTATTTAAAAACAAAGTAGTCAATCGGATTTCGGTGGAAAATGGGCCGATATAGAGTTTAACATAGATTCAAAACAGTCCCTATTTTGGCGCATTGGCAGCTCTTTATTGGCGCATTAGCGCAACTTCTGCTGCGGTGGCGTTAATACGTAAGTACCATCTTTTCTTATCCCACCTGGTGGACAGCAGCATCTATACCAAGTCCATGAACCCGCGTGTTCTCATGGAAATAGGGAAAGGGGGTGCAGATTCAGTTGTGGTGGAGCCTTCCAAGGTAGAAGTCTGACTTGGCTCCGTCTGGCTAGAAAATATGGGCAGTACTTACCGGTAACACTTTTAGGAGGAACTACTCGGCATTTGCGTATCGTATGGGAGAAAATCCGGAAAATTTCCACCAGTTAGTCCGACTGACGAAACATGCCGGACATACCAAACGCCATCGAGTCTCCTCGTTTTTTGAAACAGTGTCTACAACAATGCCGCCAACGGATTGAATCTCAGTCTTAATGGTCACCAGCGGCTCACTTTGCCACTGAGCAAAAAATATTTTAATACAATAACTGATATCCTGTTATTCTGTTTTAAAAATCGTCAGTCCCTTTCAAGACATCAATACACAACAACAAAAAAAAACGATGATTTATAAAACTATGTAAGTAACAGGTGGGCTGAAACGTTCGTAGGCTGACACATAGATGGCGCTACTAGTATTGATGATTCTAAGCAGTGTTTGGAGGTGTTCAATCTTAATAAACCCGAATTTTTGCGTCGATATGTGACAATGGAGGAAACATGGCTCCATCATTTCACATCGGAGTCCAATCGACAGTCAGCCGAGTGGACTGCACGTGATGAACACTAAAAATTTTGTAACTCATATACTAATAGTGCAACAGCTGTCAAATTTATACACGTGTCTTTTGAAGGTTAGGGCTAACTAAAAATCATATGGATTTAATACTAGTAAGGCCATCTATGTATCAGCCTATGAACTTTTCAGTCCACCTGTTAAGAGCTTTTAATATTGACGGAAGTGATTTTAAAGACTATTCTGATGTTAAAAATTTGGAATTTTCGATATTATTGATTTTGATCACTTATTGCTAATTGGAAAAATTCAATGCCACCATTGATATGCATATACCGCCACATAACCTATTTGTTTCATGTTTTTGTTGATGCCTTTCGATCTTTTTATATATGGTTATTCGCAATAATCTGTTTCTCCGGCGATATTTATGAGCATAGTTAACCTTATCGATAGATTAATATCGCCTGTTACTTTCCCATACCAACTACGTGTTGGCGTTATTGCTTTCAGGGTAAAGATATCTAGGAGCTAATAAGGAATAACTTACTAGATTATGGTAGCAACTGAAGAAAACCGTAGAATATTTATATATGAGGGATAGAATAAAAATCTTGCTTTATAGTTGAAAATAAAAAAATATATTTATATACTATTATTATTATTATTAACTAGATTAATATTTTTTATGCATTTGTTTTGAGAAATATTTTTGTATTAATGCGAGTTTGAATATAAATAAATGTGGTTAAACATGCCTTTTATACTGATGTGCATTGACAGAACTATGTTTGTAAGATTAAAAAGTAAGGTGGCATGAGTTTAGCTTGTATAGAACGCAGGTTTGAATCCGAAGGCGACGTTGCAGCCCCTGGTCCTGGTTTCGTAAAAAAGATATTTGTTAAAGTTTGCTGTAGGTGTGGGATCATTTATATCGACGATCAGTGGCCTGATAGCCAATTGGCTAGCGGTCTGGCCTTTGGTACAACAGGCTTCGGGTTCAAATACTGTTGGTGACATGGATGTTTCTTAGTGGTTCGGAATTCACTTTAGATTCAGTAGGTTCCAGTTTCATATGACATCATCACAGAACTCAGCCATACTTCTCCCCCATATCATCCCCAAACTCTATAGGGGCAACTCTGCTCTAGGCGTAGTGATGTGGTGTAGTGGTTCAGAGTCCACGTTAAATTATAGGTCCCTGTCTAATTATTCTTCAGTGAGCATAAAATGATCTAAGAGCGGCAAACCAAACCCAAACCAATGTTAACTCGTTAGTTAGACTACATGTCGGTGATTTTCTCCCATACCATACTCAAATGTGGTGTACCTCCCCCTAAAGGCCTCCCAGAATGCTCTGACCTCCTTCTACAAAAAAACGGTGCCAATTCAGACTTCTTCCATTTTTTTATGTTGTTGTGTTTTAATGTCCTGAGACTAACGTTCAACAAAAAGATTAACAGGATATCAGTTATTGTATATAATTTTTTTTGTCCGCATCAACGTGATCCGCTGGTGAGCATTAGGACTTAGGTCCAATCAGTTGGCGGCTTCGTTGTAGACACTGTTACAAAAAACGAGATGGTTCGACGGCGTTTGTGATGTTCAGTATCTTGCTTCGATAATCAGACTACTTGGATTGAGGTTTCTGGGTTTTTCCTCCCATACGATATATAAAGGCAGAATAGTTCCCCCTAATAGTCCTCCCGAAAAGCACTGCTCTCCTTCTTCAGCGACTCAGAGAGAAGTCGGACTTCTATCTACGGGTGCTGCATCACAACAGAAGCTTTCCCGCCATCCATGAGAACACGGATTCATGGAATTGGTCTAGATTTTTCTGTTCAAGATGTTGCCGTCCAAGTGTGAAAAAAAATTTTAAATAAGTTTTTTAGTCGTTACTCTTCTTTCGTACTGGAAATTATTAAAATAAAACTAATTTCTTTTCAAGTTTATAAAACGTCTGCCATCGGTATTCGATATTCTTGCAAATTATTTGGGTTTTTAATCAAAATTTTCAGTTAATTCGAAAGTAAACAAAATATATAATTTTTTTAATAAATATATGTACACCTCAACATTAGCTCAATTAATGAAAAAAATTAAACAATGCATAATAATATTTCATAATTTAGTGTTCATATTTAATAATCTATTTTTTCAAGAATTAAGACTATAATGTAAAAAAGTATTATAAAAATTATTAATTGGACTATGAAAATAATTAAAGCAGCAATGATGCCAATTTTTTTTTTTAATTTTAATAATGTAAGAAATCCTGTAATATATCTAAAGAATTTTAATGAACTAATATGCGAGGCAGAACTACAACGTCTGATAAATGTCT